AAAAACAGGAAGAAAGAGAAAATACTATTATTCATTTTAGTCAAGATAAAGAAATTTCAGAAATAGAGGCAAAAGTGACAATAAAAATCTAGAAGAAGGAATTGATTAAATAATTATTTGGAAGTAAATATAGGAAATGCATAGCAACTAGTCCATAAAAAATGTTGGTTCTGAAGTAAAGTAAATATTGCTTTAAATAACATAACACACCTCTGTTCACATTCTGAGAAAACACAATTATTGTTCCTAACAAATGGAAAAGCATGTAACTGATAGATGTCAGAAAGCCAATGGTACAAATGTATAACAAAAAGATCTTGATAAAAAATGAAATTCTTCAATAGTGACAAGAAAAGTGTGTTTAATATGATTATTAAATAGAGTATTGAGTGTTATAGCTATTTTCTCTAACACACACTGAATAAAGGAAAGTATCATAGTAGAATTAATAAATTAGTGATGACATTACAAAGGAGAAGTTGGAATGAACAGGCTACTTAGTGCAAAAAATTTCAGGGTCTCACTATTTGTTTGTTTGTTTCTTTGCTTTGGGTTTTGAGAGAAGGACTCCGGTAGCCAATGATGGCTTACAACTCACTATCTATCCCTGAATGATTTTCAACTGGTGATCCTTTGATGTTGCCCACTCCCAAATGCATCTACACTTATCATCTAGGTATAACAATAAAAGGAAAAAAGCAAACAAGACAGAACTATCAATATAAAAAGTCACTAGTCAGTAGATTAAAGAAAATAAAGATAGAATAAATTTTAGTCAATTAACTGTACTTGAAAAGAGTCTACCTTATAATTAAGGGTCTGTCATTGAAAAAAACACAGAATGATAATTAGGAGTATGGATTACCATATTTTTAGTTTTGGATACAAGTCCTAACTCTAACACTTCATTTTTTCTATATCTCAGTGTCTCTTTGTATAAAATGGATCTAACAAAACAGAACTGAAAATTGTCTGAAGCATACGTTAAATAAAATGTTAAGCATAGAGAGCCTTTCCCAGAATAAATGTTTGAGACAATGTATGTATAAATATTACCATTAATAATTATAGTTGTCTTCCAGGTGAACACTCTATTATTGTAGGAAGTAAATCACGGATAAATCACTAAAAGCCTGTATTTCTGCAAGTAAATATTAAACTGTTGTGAATGACCTCAATCTGTGTATCTGTCCTCCACAGAAAACTGAAAAATAAAGAAAAACAAAAACAAATTAATAAAAACAATGACAGGTACAGCAGGAAAAATGCTTAGCTAGTCAAGAAAATATTGATATTAAAAACAAAGTAAGGAAGGCAGGTAGGAATACTTTGCAAGTCATTTCCAAAGTATTAATGTGAAATTAAAAATATTGTCTCCTGAGTGGGGATCATGGTGGGAGGTGTTGGGAACATAAAGGCAACCTTCAAAGTAAAAGCAAAAAATAACCAGAAAATATATATCTGGTTCTGTAAAAAACAATGAAAGTAGCCCATTTTTAACCATTTACCATGCTAAAAACTTTCTTGTACTTAAGATTTTTTTTTATATTAAAGGAGGTCGTTATTTAACCCAGGAGCCAACCATTCTCCTGTCTTAGCATTATATGCACTGCAACTAAAGAAATAAGCTGTTATACTGCTAGTTTCAATCTCTTTTTGGTATTATCCTGCAATCTCTTGATGTGTCATATTCTGATCATTATATTGCCCTTCCCTAATGTTATTCATATATCTCATATTATGACCAATACAGTAAACAGAATAACTAGCTATAATCAATGGTAAGACAGATAAACCACAGATGACAACTTGATTATTTTCTATCAACAGGTACCTTGAAATATTCTCTTCTGTTCCAGTCAATGGATCAAACAAACAACACTGAAGTTTTTGAGTTTATGTTGGTGGGACTCTCTGGTTCCTGGAAAACTACAATTTTTCTCATATCTACTTTTTCTTTGCTCTATTTAAGCATAATCTTGGGAAATCTTCTTATTGTCTTTTTGGTAACTACTGACTCCCACTTACAGTCTCCTATGTACTTTCTTCTGGCCAACCTGTCCCTCATTGATGTTGGACTTTCCTCTACCACAGTTCCCAAGATGATCTCAGACCTTCTGAAAGAACGCAAAGTAATTTCTTTCCACAGTTGTATGACTCAGGCCTGTTTTATACACATTATAGGAGGAGGGGAGTTGGTGCTACTTATAGCCATGGCATTTGACAGGTACACAGCCATCTGTAAGCCTCTACACTACTTGAGAATCATGAGCCCTAAATTATGTATTTTATTTGTAGTCACTAGTTGGGTCACTGGTGTGGTCCATGCCCTGGCCCAGTTCTTCTTTGTTATAAACCTGCCTTTTTGTGGTCCTAACAAAGTAGACAGCTTTTACTGTGATTTTCCTCGGATTATAAAACTAGCATGTGCTGATGGAGACAGGTTTGAGCTTGTTGTTGCTGCCAACAGTGGCTTCATAAGCATGGGGACTTTCTTCCTGCTTCTCCTCTCCTATATGTTCATTTTGATAACAGTCTGGAAAAGGTCTTCAGGGGATTTATCAAAGGCTCTTGTTACTCTGTCAACACACATCACTGTGGTTATTCTTTTTTTCACTCCATGCATGTCTATCTATGTGTGGCCTTTCTCCACATCATCAATTGACAAATACCTGTTTATTGTTGACTTTGCCATCACACCTGCCCTGAATCCTGTCATCTATACACTTAGGAACAAAGATATAAGGATAGCAATCAAAAGATTGTGCAAAGTGACTGGTTATTACAAATATCACTGACTAATCTGGTATGGGAACTCTAAAAGTGTATGTCCTAATATACATTGGAAAATTTCACTGAGGAACTTCAGTGAATTGCACATTTCACTTACCATACAACATATATCTCTTTCCACAAAACATTAATGCCTTACTTCTGTTCCTTTGAGAAATAAGAATATATCAGTATGTACTTCTTTTCAAAAAGCACTATGGATAGATAAATGTCGGTTTATTTACCTTTATGATAATCTGAAAACAACAAAGGACAGAATGTCATCCTATAATATTCAAAATTAGCTCCAATTTTTTTGGTAAATAAATGTATAATCACAATAAATGGTTCCATATTTAAGTTTACTGTCTCAAATTATTTAGGCTATTTTGGTTCGATTGTCTCAAAAAGTCAACAGAGTTTACATTTGAATATAAACAGCTTATTTAGAAGAGGTTTCATGGTCATCAGTGGAAAATTAACATATTATTAGCATCTAGTGACTCTTCCCTAAAGGTGGCTATGTAGTTGTAATCTAGAAGGGTTTCATTGCAATATAATATATGCAGTGTGGTTCTTTATATTGTTAATGAACACTACTTCTTTGATATCTCCAATCTGTTTCCTAGAAAATTTTCTATTGTGCACTTTAGAAAATCTGGAAAAGGGGTTAAGCAAGGTTGATGATTAATTTATTAAAGGTAACCATCAAGTGGATTGTCTATAATCATCTAAAGGCTATGTAACTTATAAAACTACATGTCAAACTTTTCCACTTTTATTATGTGTTAGAATAAAATTAGCAAAAGAACTTATCCAATAACATGATTTAACCACAAGTGCAGAGAAAAGAGGCCTTAAATCAAAATGGAATATAAAATGTGACTATGAAAGCCAAAGTCATGATGACATAATAGCTTATAACTTATCAGATATTTATAACTCCTCAGATGTGTATCAAAAATGATACACCATTTTAGGGTAGAAATTTGTAAAAAGGAATTCTTAGATTGTTGGTACAAATAGACACTTGTAAAGTCAATGTTGATAATAATATGGAGGATTTCAACATTCTAGAAATTAAAGAAAGACTATCAGGTGATCCATGGTCAACATGAAAAGTTGTTGTGTCAATATTTTTTAAATGATTACTAGGTCAAGGCATATATATGACACACATGTGATGGATGAAATACTATTATGTATGAAACAAATGGGTGGATTACACAGTATATATGGAATAAATTCTATGCCATGATGTTAAGTCTTTAAAAAGAGGAATATAATGCCATTGGTTAATGTAAAGAACATAATGCTAAATGTAAAGTCAGACACAAAAACTGTAACATGGGTGCTAAATATATACAAAGATTTAAATAGTTGAATTAACAGGAAAATAGTAAAGCTGTGGTCAACAACAGTAGATCAGAGAAAAATAGAAAATTTCTAAGATTATACTTATATGTGGTAAATAATTCTTGAAAATTAATGTACTGAACTAAAACTACATGTAGTAAGTTGGCATTTAACTGTCAACAATATGAAGTAACTATATTTCTTTTGTTAAATATGTACTTTCACAATATTGACAAAAGTTGATAGTGTCTAATGACTATACTGGGTCTCTTAGGTCCCCCCTTCTTATATTTCCCCATGTAAATACACAGGAGTCCCTTTCTGCATTTATGTATTTTGTTTTACTTATTGATGCACTGGTATTAACCATGTCATCTTTGTGCCCATTATTTTGTAACTATCTCTGATGAATTATGAGTTCATCAGTGATTCACAACAGAGAAGATGTCTAGTCTTACCCAAAACCATCAGGCACTCATATTTCAGGAATGAGGTTTAGGACTACATAGCCTACTCATAGATCTACAATTAACTATTACCTTCATGCCACATTAGGCAGCCTTGAAATTATAATTACATTGGTGTTATGCCAACAAAATAGCATCTCAGAGCACTTCTCACTTCTTAAGAGTTTTTTTTTTTTTTATTTCTATCCTCTTCTTATTGTATAAGTGATTTGAAACACACACATTACTTGTTTTCCCCAGCCCACAAACATAACAACAGAACACCTTGAGGACTTCTTGCAAAACTATGTAGTCAGATTGTAAAATAAGTACTTACTCGTGTGATTTTTTTAATAATTCAGATTTAGTTAAATTTTAGCAATTCAGTTAAATTTCCTCTAAGTAATATGCCTTTCAAGAAGTACAATGGAAGGTGATAATATGATTTTTCAGGTATTGGAGTTGAAGCCAAAACAGAGGATCTGACTTTAATCTCTGAAAACTACCAAGGAAAAGAAGAAACTAACTTCCACTAGTTGATTTTTGAGGTGATTAAAATAATTTTAGGGTCTCAGAAGAGACGTCAAACTTTTAAACTCTGTCAAAATTGTGAAAGACTTTGGGACTGAAGCTAGACTAAGTGTTTTTATTTGTTTTTTTGTTTATTTGTTTTTGCATTATCATATTATCAGATCATCTAACACCCAAGTATTTGTATATGGTAGTTTGGATGAAAAATGTCTACCATAGACTTACATATTTTAATGTTTGATGTGTAATTAGTTGAACTATTCATAAAGGATTAGGAGATAGTACCTATTTGGCACTCTCTCTGTCTCTGTCTCTGTCTCTGTCTCTCTCTCTCACACACACACACACACACACACACTTATGGGTGACATGTGAGTTATCAGGCACTGCTCCAGCACATTTTTGCCTGTCTGTGGTCAAGCTTTCTGCCATAAGTGCAATGGACACTAATGCTATTAAACTGTAAGACCCAAAATAATTGTTTTCCACTACACATTGTGTTGCTCATAGGTATTTTGGCTCATGGCCCTTAAAGAGCAATGAAGAAAATTAGAGTAGAAATGGAAGAGGTTGTGTTTTATCTAAACATGCCATATCACCTATACAGCCATACTCTATAAGTTCATTTTTGGTAAGAAAAACTAATATATCTAAATCAGATGCAAAAAAATTGACTTCTTATGGGTCATATATTTTATCTTGTGTTATGAAATACCCATTTCCAAGTACAGTAATGTAGGCAGGTGAAACTCAAAGTAAATCATCAAAGAAATCCAAAATGGTTTATCTGATTAATAAATTGTTTTGGGAGACTGAGAAAAACCACCTAAGTAAACAGTATAAATAAATAGTTAAGAGTGTTTCATATTCAAGTCTTGAACTGTTTCCATTATCTGTTTGATTAGAGCAGAAGGAGGGAGAACATGAGCAAGGAAGTCAGGACCATGAGGGGTGCACCCAACCACTGAGACAGTGGGGCTGATCTATTGGGAGCTCACCAAGGCCAGCTGGACTGGGACTGAAAAAGCATGGGATAAAATCGAACTCTCTGAACATGATGGACAATGAGGGCTAGTGAGAAGCCAAGGACAATGGCACGGGGTTTTGATCCTACTTCATGTTCTGGCTTTGTGGGAGCCTAGCCAGTTTGGATGCTCACCTTCCTAGACCTAGATGGAGTGGGGAGGACCTTTGACTTTCCACAGGGCAGGAACCCCTGACTGTTCTTCGGACTGGAGAGGGAGGGCGAGAGAAGTGGGAGGAGGGGAAGGGAAATGGGAGGCTGGGAGGTGGCAGAATTTTTTTTCAATAAAAAATAAATAAATAAATTTAAATAAAAAAAGAGTGTGTCATAGTAATTTTTTTTGTATTTTAGCTAAATATGTATTTCTAGAGAAAACTAAAAATAAAATAGATATTAAATGCTATTCCCAGATATATTAATTGTTTGTGTTTCTGTACATACACATAAGAACCATTTGAACCTTTGTACCCTTAGTCATAAAAGACAGTGATGAACTGGAAAAGGAATAAAATTCCATGTGTTTCTCATTCTTCAAAGATATCGAGTGGAATCTATTCCTGATAGGTAAAGAATAGCATCATTCTCTGGTATTCTAGCATTAAATCATACCACCCTCATCTTGTTCTTTGTATTTGTTCTTAATGATCTTCTTCTACATATTTGTGTTTCTACCTCAGCTTACCTACATGAATGATGTCAAATTAAATTAATTTTTAGCCTTTGATTTCTTTCCTCAGGGAAGAAACTGAGTTGAGAGGAATTCAAATATTCTTCAAAGCATTAATATTTCAAATTAATAGATGTAGTGTTTTGACACTTCTACCTCATTTCTTTCCAAATATAAGATCATAATTTTTAAAGCAATGACTGAATCATAGGTATCTCATTATAATTCAATTATTGTTTTCAACCTAAAAAGTCTATAATAGCAAATATGTATGATAGATAAAAATTATTCACTGTTTATGCCAGAATGTTACATTGGGTTAGGTATTGAAATTTTTTCCTCTAGAAAATGTAAAATGTTTCTATGCATTGGCTAGGTTACATCTTATTTTTAATGAGAAAATTATGAATATTGTGATAAACTACAGCAACTCATATCTTAAAAAGATAACAATGATAATCATTTAATTCCTATTAGGCTAGGCTGACAATGTGTATTAGTGTTTAAAGGGGCATTTCATGTATTAAGCTTCCTGGTGTGACTATAATTTGAATTGTATTTTAAAAAGTTGTCCATTTGCATCCTTATTTTTTAATAAAATCATTATTGTTTAAATATTAAAAGATAGTGGCACATTCTAAGCTATCGTATGTATTTTGGTTTCTTGAACACACTATTTATTCAAATTTTATGTTGTCATGTTATATTATTCCACCACATATCCACTACTGTGCAGTAATTCTGTTGTTAGTCCATGGATTAGTCTTCTGGGAATGGATAGTTTCATAACTCTGAGATGTGTTTATTAATATGGTTTGATTTCTTAGTTTATTCAGAGCTTCAATAATATTAGAATATTTTAAGAATATTTGCATCATCTGTCTTTTTGCCATCTTCCATATGGAACTATTAAAGACTTTTCATGGTTAATTGCTAAAATTATCTTGATATTTATAATAACCCTTCTTTGTCTTAATTTTGGAGACATTTATGTAATTTGGCAATTAATAACAAAGCTTTGGTACCTCCTTTCAATCAGGATTGATTGGTTTAGAGTCATGGCTGCTTGACAAAATAGTGTTATTCCATATCCCAAAATAACCTTATATTTTGGTTTAATGATTCAATTTTATTCATTTAACTTTTTATTTTCATGGTTATTTATTATTTATTTAATTGTTTTACATGCAGACAACAGTTTCCCCCCTCACCCATCCTCCTGATCTCCAGCCATATTCACCTCCCAGCCCCATCTCTACTCTTCTGTTTCTATTTTGGAAAGGGCAGAGCTACCGAGGATATTGACAAAACATGGCTTATCAAATGGGAGAAAGAATAAGCACCTCACCTTGTATTATGGCTGGGCAAGGCAACCCAATATGAGGAATAGAGGTCCAAATGCCAGCAAAAGAGTCAAAGGCAGCTCTTGCTACAACTAATATGAGTCCCATAAGAAAACCAAGCTACAAAACTGTTACATATATTCAGAGGACCTACGTTACTCCTATACATGCTCCTTTGTGCATTCAGTCTCTGTGAGCTTCTGTGAAGCCAGATTGTTTGATTCTGTGGATTTTGTTGTGGTGATCTTGATGCTCTGGCCCCTAAAATCTGTCCTTCCTCTCTTCCAAGATTCCTCAAGTACAGCCTATTATTTGACTCTGGGTCTCTGCATCTATTTTTACCATTTGCTGGATGAAGCCTCTCTGGTGACTGTTGGGTTAGGCACTAATCTATAAGTATAGCATAATATTATTATGCATTATCACATTGACATTTTTTTTTCTCCACTAGTGTATGGTTGGTTCTATACCTAGGTGTCTAGACCATGTAGCCTCTGGATCCTATCACTTCAGACAGCGTCAGTGGTGATCTCACTCTGTTGGCATGGGACTCGGGCTGAGCCTGTCATTGTTTAGCCACTCCCACAAATTCTGTGTCAACCTTATCCCAGCACATTCTATAGGCTTGAAAGATTGTAGGTTGAAGGTTATGTGGCTCACTGGTACACTTATCTGACCAAAAGAGGTGGTCAGTTCAGGCTAATTATCTACTTTTGCTAGGAGTCGTAGTTGACACTGTCAAAAGGACAAAAGAGCAGCTTACAGAATGGGAAAAGATAGTCACCATCACCACATCTGACAGAGGGTTGACTGACAAAATATATATGCAAATAATAAATTACATGAGGAAAAATTCAGAGAAACAATATCTTTCATAGTAGCCCCAAAGTATCTTGGCCTAGTTCTAAACAAACAGTGAAAGGCTTAAATGCTAAAAATTTGTAGTGATGGAGTGGCGGGCTGTGCTTCTGGCACCTGGCTGTCCGGCCACCGGCTAACTTTACCCAAAATAATTACAGGGAAACTGTATTCTTTTAAACACTGCCTGGCCCATTAGTTTGAGCCTCTTATTGGCTAACTCTCATTTCAATTTCAATTAATTTCAATTAATGAGTATAGCACCATGAGTATACACCAGGAAGACCCTAACCTGCATCCATCTTGGAGAGGAGAGCTATATCGTCTGCCTCGCATCCCTTCTTCCCAGCATTCTATTCTGTCTACTCTGCCTATCTAAGTTCTGCCCTATCAGATAGCCAAAGCAGTTTCTTTATTAACCAATGAAATTAACACATAGACAGAAGATCCTCCTCCATCAGAAATTTAAGATATTGAAGAAAGAAGTTGCAGAAAATATCAGAAAATAGAAGGATCTCCTATGCTGCTGTAGGTGTCAACATCCCTTACCTCAAACTGTATTACAGATGTATAAAGATTCTAACAGCAAAGTATTGGCATAAGAATGGTCATATTGATCAATGGAGTCAAACTGAAGGCCTGGACATAAATCTACATACCCACGAACACTTGATTTTTTATAAAAACATAAAAATACATGCTCAGAAAATCTGGCAAATTGGTTAGGTACACATAGAAAAATGAAAATAAATCAACCTCATCACCCTAGAAAAATCTCAATTTCAACTTGTTGAAAGACCTAAGCAGAAGACAAAATATACTGAACCTGACCAAAGAGAAGTCAGTAAAAGCCTTGAACTCACTGGAACAAGAAAAGACTTTTTAATAGAACACAAATAACTTGGACACTAAGAACAAACATTAATAAATGGAACTTTGTGAAACTGAAAATATTCTGTGTGGTGAAAAACACCATCATTTGAACAAAGCAGAAAATTCAGAATTGGGAAATGTTTTCACAAACTACACACTGAATAGGTGATGAATTTGTAAAATATCTAGGGAATTAAATGAAACTGAGTATCAAGAAAACAAACACAACAATAAAAATGGGAGAGGGAAAGAGATCTAAAAAGAGAGCTTATCTCAATAAAATTTAAACAATGAATCCTAAAAATTATAGGGAAATGGATAGAACTAAAATAATTATCCTGTGTTAGATAACCCAGCCACCCCCCCACAAAAGATAAGCTTAGAGTATACTCACGTATACATATATGTTAGCTCCTAAGTCTTTGATAAGCAAACTGCAATCTGTGTAACCACAGATATTAGTTATAAAGTAAGGGGATAGTAATGGTGGGAGGATCTCTTTAGGAAAGGGAAACCAGATATTGATTGGTAGGTTAATACTACAAGTGGTGTGCCATTTTTGCCTTAGTACATCTTACTAGTAGAAGGGAGAGCTTGTAGCAGGGTGGGGTTTCTTCTGTGTACATATATTTGCTCGGGTTGAGATGGTTCTTCTTGTAACAATGGCCTATGACCGCTATGTGGCCATCTGCAGGGCACTCCACTACACCAGCATCATGGACAGACAGAAGTGCATCTGGCTGGTTGTGATATCATGGATCATTGGAGTCGTGCATGCCATGAGTCAACTGATTCTGATTTTGGAGTTACCTTTCTGTGGACCTAGAGTGATAGACAGCTTTTTCTGTGATATTCCTTTGGTGTTGAAACTAGCCTGCACGGATACTGATACTCTGGAAATCATGATAAATGTTGACAGTGGTGTTCTAGCAATGTCTTGTTTCATTCTCTTGTTGATATCTTACACTTACATTCTATTAACTGTTCGGCTTCACTCTAAAGATGGTTCATCAAAAGGCTCATCAAAGGCACTCTCTACCTGTACCTCCCATATTATTGTAGTTTTGCTATTCTTTGGGCCTGTCATTTTCATCTATCTGTGGCCTGTCAGCCTCACTTGGGTGGACAAGTTTCTTGCTGTATTTTACTCAGTCATCACACCTCTCCTGAATCCAGCCATCTATACATTGAGAAATAGAGACATTAAGAATGCCATAAAGAAGTTAACAAGTCCCATGTAAGTTTTGGAATAATCTTTAGACATCTTATATTATCAGCAAATTCATTGTGTACACACCATTTTATACAAACAAATTGTTTCTGGGATCTATATGATGTAATTAGTATATGATTATGAAAATGCCATTAGAATAATATATTAAAATTTGTAATACAGTTTTATCACTAGAATGAGTAGTAGCTCTGCATAATATATTTGTGTATAGTAAAGAGTAGACAATAATAATAATGTTGCAAAAATAATGATGTTATTACACATCACCTGTGTCCCCAGATTTGGGTCAGTCACTTTGCTTAGACTACTGTTAACAAAATCCTCTTTAAGCCGAGTGGAGGTGACATATGCCATTTATCCTAGCACTCCAGAGGCAGACCAGCCTGGTCTACAAGACCTAATTCCAGGAAAGGCTCCAAAATTACAGAGAAACCCTGTGTCAAAAACAAAAACAAAATCCACTTAGAATTCTTTATCAATCTTACCATCTTTTAAAATATAGCATTATTATACATGAGTACGCATTAATCGGTATTTCTTTCTTAACAATAGATTATTTTTTATTGTTTTTATTGAGCTATATACTTTTATCTGCTCTCCTCCTTTTCTCTCCCATCCCCTACTAGGTTGGTCCCCATGCTCCCAATTTACTCAGGAGATCTTGTCTTTTTCTACTTTTCATGTAGTTTAGGTCCATGTATGTCTCTCTTAGGGTCCTCATTGTTTTCTATATTCTTGGGGTTATGCATTGTAGGCTGTTTTTTTTTTTTGTTGTTGTTGTTGTTTTATTTCTAAAATTCACTTATGAGTGAGTACATATGATATTTTTCTTTCTAGTTCTAGGTTACCACCCTCAATATCATGTTTTCTAGATACATCCATTTGCACACAAATTTTAAAATGTCATTATTGTTTCTGCTGTGTAGTAGTCTATTGTATAAATGTACCACATTTTCCTTATCCATTCTTCAGTCAAGGGACATTTAGGTTGTTTTCAGTTTCTTGCTCTGACAAACAACTCTGCTAAGAATATAGTTGAGCATGTGTTTGTGGTATAATTGAGCATCTTTTGGGCATATAATCAAAAGTGCTATTGCTGGGTCTTGAGTTAGCTTGTGTCATAATTTTCTAAGAATTCACCATACTGATATCTAAAAGGCCTGTACTAGTTTGCACTCCCACCAGTAATAGAGAATTGCTCACTTTACCCCACATCTTCCCCAGACTTATAATAGTCAAACTTTTAGTCACATTAGTTGATTTTCTAGATATGTAGAGATATATTTCAGTTACATAGATAATCTTCAACACTTTAAGGATCTAAAGAACATGGCATTTAAAATATTTTAAGTAATTAAAAGAGCCCCCATACAGCATGAAGCAGTTTGGAGAGAAATAACTACGTCCATATTCTCAAATATTGTTTATAAATGTTATTTTACATCTAAAGGGGGATATGATATAGATATAAATAATTTGCATTAATATGAATTTTGCTTTGTTGATATAAATTTAAGGTCAATTTTGTTATATGTATATGTATTTCTGCTCTTGATTAAGGTATTGTGATTGTGTAGTCCATTTAAAAATATAATGTATAATTAGGAAATATAGGTTGTTAATGGATAATCACCTATAATAATCAAGCTTGTAGTCATGTTAGTTAGATTTCTAGATAAATAGAGATATATTTCAGTTATATAGGCATTCTTCATATCTTTCAAAGACTATAGAATATGGCATTTTAAATGTTTTAATAACTTAGGGCTTTTCATGACACATCTGCTCCTGGCAGCACCAATCTACTTCAAGAGAAAGATGGGCATCGAAGAGGATCCTTATGGAGTTTGATAGCCATTTGGGCAAGAAACTGTTCTTGCCTGGACTGTTGCATAAACTGGACACAGAGAACCCGCAGAGAGAGGACTGCTGAACTTGCCTAAAGGTGAGATGGTCTTTCGGGGTTCCTGCTTCATGAAAGAGTCTGCGAGACATTCTGCAGGACACAGAAGAAAGTGACTGAACTGTCTTAAAATTTCCTGCTTCACGGAAATGTCTGCTGGAAACTATGGGCCTGTAGGCTAAAGATGGATGCCCCAACAGTACAGAAGAACTTTGGGTGACTGTACAGGCAGTGAGATGTCTCTGTCATTTCTAGAGTTTTTGAAGTTGTTTACTTCCAGTTGACATAGGTAATATATCCTTCTGAAGTCTTTGATACAGTTGAAGAATAGTTATAATTATCATTTCCTTTGTTATGCTAAAAGATAAAATAGATATAAATAATGTAACTAATTCTTGTTTGAGAACTGTTTTGTTATATGTAATTTTACTATGTTAAAGTTAAAGCCTTCCTTTTTGTTTTAAAAAAAGGGGGCAATAGTGTAGGAGGTCCTTCTGTATTTGTGTTGCTTTAATTGGTTAATAAAAAAAACTGCTTTGGGCCTGGTGATAGGGCAGAACTTAGATAGGCAGGGAAGACAGAACTGAATTCTGGGAGGAAGAAAACAGAATCAGAGAGAACTGCCATGGAGCTGCTAGAATCAGACATGCTGAATCTTTCCTGGTAAGCCACGACCTCATGGTGATATACAGATTATTAGAAATGGGTTAAATCAAGATGTGAGAGTTATCCAATAAGAGACTATAGATAATGGGCCAAGCTGTAATTTAATTAATACAATTTCTGTGTGATTATTTCGGGTATAAGCTAGCTGGGAAGCAGGGACAAACAAAGGGGCCTCACTCCCTGTTACATACTAACTCATTACTGGTTTTTAAAAATAAAGCAAAAAAAAAAAAAAAACCAGCTTACAAATCACAATACCAGAGAACCTAGACAATAAAGAGGACCCTAATAGATACATACTTAGATGTAATCTACATGAGAAGTAGAAACAGACAAGATCTCCTGAGTAACTTGGAAGCATGGGGACCATGGTAGAAGGACAAAAGGGAGGGGAGAGGAATGGAGAGGCACAGAAAAAAAATGTATACTTCAATAAAATCAATAAAAAAGTGCAAAATGCTTACATTAGTTACTTAACAGCACACCTGATAGCCCTAGAAGAAAAAGAAGCAGACTCACCCAGGAAATAATTAAATTGAGGGCTGTAATCAATGAAATAGAAACAAAGAAAACAATTCAAAGAATCAATGTGTCAAAGAAGTGTTTTTTGAAAAAAATCAGCAACAAGACAAAACCTTATCCAAACTAATCAAAAGGAGAGAGAGAAAACATCAAAAGTAACATAATCAGAAAAGGAAAAGGAGGTCATAACATCAGACACTGAGAAAATCCAGGGAATCATTAGGTCATACTACAAAAACCTGTACTCCACAAAATTGGATAACATAAAAGAAATGAATAATTTCCTGGGTGATGCCATATACCATAATTAAATCAAGACCAGGTGAACAATTTAAATAGATCTATTAACTGTAAGAAAATAGAAGCTGTCATCAAAAGCCTCTCAACCAGGAAAAGCCCAAAGCCAGACAGTTTTAGTGCAGAATTCTATCAGAATTTCCCAGAAGAGCTAATACCTATACTTCTCCATGTGTTCCATATAATAGAAACAGAAAGAACATTGCCAGTCTCTTTTTATGAGCCTTCAATTACCCTGACAACAAAATCACAAAAAAAAACTCAACCAAGAAAGAGAATTATAGACCAATCTCACTCATGAACTTAGATGCAAAAATACTCAATAAAATATGGGCAAACAGAATTCAAGAACACATCAAAAATTCATCCATCATGATCAAGTCAGCCTCATCCCAGAGATTCAAAGATGATGCAACATAAGAAAATTGATCACTGTAATCCATCCTATAAGCAAACTGAAATAAAAGAAACCATGTAATCATCTCATCAGATGCTGAAAGAACATTTAACAGAATCCAACACCACTTCATGATAAAGGTCTTGGAGAGATCAGGGACACAATGAATATATATATATATATATATATATATATTAAAAACCATATACAGTAAGCCAACAGACACCATTACACTTAATAGAGAGAAACTCAAAGCGAGTTTAGTTCCACTAAAATTAAGAACAAGACAAGACTGTCCACTCTCTCCCAATCTCTTCAACAGCGTTTTTGAAATTCTGGCTATGGCAATAAAACAATGAAAGGAGATCAAAGTGATTCAGATTGGAGAGGAAGAAGTTAAACTTTTGTTATTTTCAGATGATATAATAGTATATATAAATGACACCAAAAACTCTACCAGGGAACAACTACAGCTGATAAATACTTTCAGTAATGTGGCAGGATACATGATCAAGTCAAAGACATCAGTAGCCGTTATATGCACAAACGATAAAGAAGCTGAGAGGGAAATCAGATAAAAATTACTTTTCACAAAAGCCATAAATAACAAAATATCTTGGGGCAACATTAACCAAAGAAGTGAAAGACTAATAGAAATGGGCTAGGTTATAGAGATTCACAAACACACAAAAATATAGACACACACATACACAAGTGTCGCGTCCACCCTCGACCAGCAAGGAAAACGCAACACCCGGAGCTCTTCTTGAAGCAGTTTTTCAGGACTTTATTCACAGCAATCTATCTCCTTCTCCTTCTCCTTCTCTTTCTCTCTCTTTCTCCTCTCTCTCCGGGCAAACCTCTCCCAGCCCTTAAGTAGGCATGGGCTGCCAACCCCAAACAGCCAGGTGGGCACTGCCCATAGGCCCACGCATATGCAAGCAGCTGATGATCATTGCGTGATCATAGCATAGGTCAGGCCTTAGCCATCTCAGGAGTTGATTATACATCTCCATCAGGTGTGACACCACGCAGCTTGCTACACACAAGTATGTTCAAACATAAACAAAGGGATGGCACAGACTGTCACTTAGATGCAGACTTTTTAAAAGAACATTGGTAGAACTCTGATCATAAGAAAAAGACTGAAGAAGGAAATTATACAATAGCACAGAGTATATAATTTTTCAGTAATTTGTGGTTAATATTTCTAGAAAAATAA